AATTAACATGCTCCATATTTTGCATTTACATTTGCTAGGCTGTTTTTCCCTGCTGAGGCTAGGGTAGCCATTGAGAATGCTGAGGCAGATTCCTCACCTCTGTACGCAAGCTCATCACCTGTGAATAAAGGCTTTAATGGAACTCTAAAAGAAGTGGATCTAAATGAATCTCCCTCCGCTCGAACCAGAAAACTTCAGTTAAGATTGCATGCCCTTATGAAAACAGGTATATCCAAGAAAATTCTGAAATAGCTTCCTTTATAGTATCGGTGGTTATGCATCATTGTGGAATATGGACATGACTTGTTCTATTAATGATATTCTCCATTTACCCTATAATACTACTATAGTATTCGAGGATCAAGTTAGTTGGAATGAACGGTCTGATAATGGTCTTGTGCATGTGGTCTAATAAGCCTAACAATAATGTTATAATAGATAAACAAAACTTAGGTACTTCTCCAATCAAAATCAAAGTTTTATTTTAATAATTTGCATTTACAATACTTGTAATTATATTGTTTTTTAAGAAAAATAGAAAGTCAGTGCAACATTTCATGTATAAATTTTTAACAAATTATTTTATTTTATTTTTATTGCAAAATATTTTATTGTTATTAGGTAAAAATATTACTTTTTGTTTTTTCTATCACTTTTCTCTTTAATCTAATAGTAAAATTAAATAATTATATGATTATAAAACTGCATTGCTAATTTTTTATTATGATTTTTAACTTCTAAATTTAACAAATTATTTAAGCAAAATAATGTTATATATGCTTATTTTATTGTTTTATAATTTATTTATATTTTAATTTTAATTTTGATCATTAATTTAATTTTTTTTATCTTATTATAATAAATCATGAAAAATATATTTTACACTTTCATTTACTGCGATTTTATGGATAATTTAATCATATGTAAATTGTTAATTTATTTTTTTAAGCTAAATATGATATTTTTTATGTTAGATTATAACACCATTACAATTTGCAAGGAGGAAGAAACTCAATTTTTTGTAAAGGATATTTTTGTAAAAAAAAATATTTATATAACTAAAAAAGTAATATTATAATCAAACGTGAGAGTTTTTAATTTCTCAAAAAACTTATACTAATATTTTCAAGAATGTTTATGAGTAACTAAATGAATTTGAGTCATTATCAAGAATTATGATTCTTGACTTGGGTATGAATAAAGTGAATGAATTTAATGCAAGATGCAATTGTGGAGGAAGAGAATGATGGTGGTTTGATGTTGTTACTAAAAGTGAGTGTGGCCTTTGAATTGTGTGCAGTTGAGAATGGGAGGCGCTTCTTTCCCCTTTGCTCTGAGGTGCTTGATAAGTTTCTAGAAGACGATATGCCAGATGTTTTCTTCCTAGAGAAGGGGTCTGAAGAAGAGCAGAGAATCAAGAAAGCACGCTTCATGGAACTTAAAGATGATGTGCAGAAAGCCTTTCACCAGGACATGGCTAAAAATAATCATTCCGCTTTTTCATCTTCACTCTCTTCCTCATCATCCTCTACTCGTAGGGAAGCTCTTAACCACAGAGTCAGGAAAAGGTCAAGTGCATCTTCTTCTACAGTGCAACTACAAGCTCTGCCATAATACCATATTTTCCCAATAATATCATACCTTACGTTTTTCTTTTAACTTTTAATCATGACGGAGGATTTTACTAGCTTTATTTAATTGCTTTTAGTTGTTGGACCATAAGAAACACATGAGACTGAAAGGAAGTCCTAGTGTATAGGTTGTGATGGAATTGCAAATTATTGACTTGTGTGATGATTACTTTCAAAATTATCTATATCCCTGTAAAATCTAATTATTAATCATTACTTTCATAATATTTCTTTCTATTTTTAAATGAACCAGAGCAATGAATGCAAAGTTGGAAAGTTAAATATTATTAAGAAGATCACAGATTTATCTTTATCTTTATCTTTATCCAACACAATTTTAAACGAGCCATTTATTTAAACTCGAATTTAACTAGATTAAAACTCAAAAAAAATAATATATATATATAAGAAAAAAAAAACTAGATTAACCAAACTTTTCTTACATGATATATCAATTTAAACATAATATGTAGTTAGAATAAAATAAAATATTATAAAACTGAAGTTAATATATATTTTATAATAAAATATTATTTTAAATATAATATTATATTATATAAAAATCTTATCTATTAAATTAAAAAGTTTGGTCTATTATTAAATACTGAATTCATCAAATTTAACATTGGGCTTGGTTGGTGAGCATGAAGTACCTTAGTTAAAATGAAGAAGTTGGTTTTGCTTTTTTTTTTTATACAGAAAATAATTATTTTTAAATATCATTTAAATTTGATATATTACTATAATTATAATTATAATGGAATGATTATTCCATTTACGTATAATTGATGAAACTGAGATCATTTTACAAATAATTTATCAAAATTGGGTTGTTTTTAAATTATTTATCATAATAGGACAATCAACTAAAAATTGGCAATGAGAGAGAGTGGGTAAAATAGCCTCTCTTCCCCTGGCCGGATGGAAAAACATTTGTCTCATGTAGGGATGGCAATGGGGTGGGTACGGGTTTCATGATACCCGTTCTCGTTTTTACGAGTCAAACTCATCTCCGTTCCAGTACCCGTACCCGTTGGATATGTAATTTTCATTCTCATCCTCATCCTCGTCGAGTATCGGATATACTTGTATCCGTACCCGTACCCTCAATTTTTTTTTAAAAATATTATTTTTAAATTACTTTTTTAATTATATTATAATTATAATTAGGTTATTTTTCTATCTTATATTATAATAAATAATCACATATAAAAAAATACTAAAATTCTTTAATATAATTAAATTAAAAGTGAGTATTAAATTAGAAATAGGAACGGGGACGGGGGCGAGTACGGGGCGGGTAAGTACATATCTGTACTCGTACCCGTACCCGATTTAATATATCGGGTTTTACCCGTACCCGTACTCGTACCCGGTCAAACCGGGTATTCTCCGTCAAAGTCGGGATGGGTTCAGGTATTACCTGCGAGTACGAGTATATTTACCATCCCTAGTCTCATGCACATGCGACTATTCAATAAATAACTACTCACAAATTTTATTAATACTCACAGAAGAATTTTTCATTTCAAGTTATTTTACCACTTCACAAAATAAATTTATCATTTAATCAAATAAAAAATAGTTGATAATTTATTTAAAATATACCAAATTATTAATTGATTAACATCAATAATTATAACTCAACAAAATATGAACCTCTCATTTGACTTAACACAAGTAACTATAATAAGTAATAACTTAAAGCATAGTTTTAAAAACCGGACCGGTCATCGAACCGGTTTGCATGAATTATATGGATAACTTTATATTTTCAGTCATGACTTAAGTATAAGTCGAAAATCAAGCTTTATAATTAAAAAATATAATTGTCTAATCACTAGTAATAACATAATGATAAATTATCTAATTATTATTTTTCCTCAACGCTTTAACTATTTTTTTTTTCCAAAAACAATTAAGATTTTAGAATCTTAAAGTCAATTATATTTTCTCCTTTCAATTATACCCTTATGTTTATGCTTCGTTGCTAGTGGTGCATGTATCAAAGATCAAGATATTACATAAGAACATTCTAGTCCAAATACAATAATATTTTTCATTCATTAAATATTTATTAATTTATGGATATTGATCTTAAATATTAATAATTATGGAAATAATAATCGGATGGATAATATTATAGTTTACAGTAGTCTCATTTAACTTGAATAAGATTATATCTAATAAATACTCGTGTGATATTGCCAAAAAAAAAAAAGGTTTATAGGAATGAGGTAGTAGTTTTTACAATGGTTTCTCATACACTTCTTAAATTCCGTTTATGACTAATTATTATTTTTCAATATTTTACTCTTAGTATTTTAATAGATCCGTCTCATTTTCATTGATCTCATTGCAACTTCAAAAGAATATTTCATCTATAAATAAAAATTCAAAATTAACTAAATTCTTAATAATAAAATTATCTAAAAACATAATTTTGTCTACAAAATAAAATAGAATTTCTACCAACAACCTTATAAACATATCCTTTTATATTTATTATTTTTATTTACCAGTTATTTAAATAATTAATTTACCAGACACCCTTTAAATGATTAAATTAGAAAAACAATTTCCAAACTAAAAAAAGACCTTTAACTATTTTATTAATTATTTTTATCGAACAATGCCTAAGCTTATACAATAACAAATTGTTTCTGCTCCAATAACACTTCGGTGTGTTTAAATGGGAAATTTTGAGAAAGAAATTCAACTTTCAAGTGAACTTAAAATACCATAAAATCGAAATGATTTGTTTGGATATTAAATTCAAGAAATTTTAAAACGATGAGAATTTTATAGGATTTATTTTTTCAAGCAAAATGAAAGAATTTCAAATAATCGCACAAAAGGAAATTTATATATGACAGAAATTACTTTATCTTAACAAAAATATTGAATTACACACAAAATTTTTGAATTTCTTCATTCAAATAAAATATTTTAAAAATGAAAAGATTTTAATTGAAGCAATTAAATTTTCACAATTTTAAATTCCTTGAAATTTTGAAATCATTAAATGTCCAAACACAACACAAAAATTTTCTCCATCGTTAATCTTGATTATATATTTTTCATGGACCGAATAAGAAAAAGGTGCAGTTTCAGGCACCATAATTATTGACATTATTCTCATTGATATATCACATCTTCATACACGAAAAAAGGGGTTGCAAATCCTCCCAAAAACATTCGAGAATCACATGAACTGTTGCTGTTGCCTCCACCAGCAGATAAAGAACACACTTTTCTCAATCAGTCACTGTAATCAGTTATCAAAACACTAATAATATTGCTTTTCAGCAGCAACCAAGTAAACAGCCCCAAAATCTGTGTTTGCGGTCCCTCCTCCCCAAACCATACAAGCCTGGCCTTGCAAGTCCTTCTCAACTAGATTGCCTAGAGGCTCTGATTTTGAGTGTGTCTAGGTTATTTCATAGTTAATCATCCATACACTGCTAGTGTAAAGTTTTTTACACTGACAACCAATCATATCTTTTAAATTATTTTATTTTATTTTTATTTAATTAAATAATAAATCATGATACTATTAAAAAATATGATTAGGACAGTGCATAGGTGATTAACTATTTTATATCCGTTGAATGTAACTCACTTTTTTTTTAATCTATCATTGTTCTATTTCGTGTTTTCGAATGTATAAACAGATGTTTGGTACATCTGAAGACACTTTACATCTTATGTGTAATTAGTGTACAAAGTTTTATACTAACAACTAATTAAAATTCATCAATTTTAAGATAATTATCATAAAAGTTATGTAACATACCTATCATACATGTCAATGTGCGATTGAGAGATTACACCTTAGTTAAGTACATGAATTATTTACTCTTTTTATATATATAAGTATACATATCAAAAAAAGATAAAACATAGATATAATACTTAGATATGAATGTTGACATTGTTTTTCAATCTGAATTAAATTTTATTTTGATAATACGTATTGATATTTAGTAAATTGTTTTTTTTATTACTTTTATTAGTGAGGTGTAGGGATGACAATGGTGTTAGAATTAATTTTTTAATAAATGGGACCCTATGAGGGCGGATAATAGTGTATACGTCCTCGTTTTATAGGATAAAAATTCGTCCCATACTTATCTCATATCCATGCGGGTACTCGTTAAGCGGGTATTCATGAACTTTTTAAATATCCGTTGGTACCCATGGATATCTATGGATAATTATGATTTTTTAAAAAATAAAAAAGCATATTACAAATAATTTTAAGTTTTTATTTGATGTCATTAAAATGTTAAAAATAAAAAATTGATGTTAATTTTTAAACTTACATTTAACATTAATTCTGTTGATATTAAAAATAATAAAAGAATGCTACATAATCAATAATTTAAAATACATTAATCTCGTAAGTAATTGAGTATCTCAAATCATAAGCTACAATAATTCAATATCATAATTCCAAAAGAAAATAAACAAATTAAAATACATAAATCTTATCACTAGTGCAAAAATAGGCTTTTACGTCACCTAATTTACGTCAGAAACACGAAAATCCGACATTATAAAAACGCAGTGGCAGTATCATAAATATAAAGAGACTAATTTACGTCGGACAGATGGGGGTCCGACGTAAATTAGCCTCTATATTTCCATGAAAGCAGGCCCAAGTCTTCATTTGTAGGACATTCTTTGTATCTGATGGGGGAATCCGCTCCCGGCTCGCGAGGCGTCCCTCTCTGCACATTCCACACCAACATTGCAGGACTTAAAGGTAATTGAGTAATATATTAGATAGAGTTTAATTTCTATATTCAATAAATTTAAATATATTTATATAATAATTTTTAGAATCGTAAATTTATTTGTATTTTTCTAATTGATGATTTTATAAAAGAATGATATAAGGAATTAAAAATGAATATGGTGACGGACATAATTCGAACATTGACCGCAGCATTTTAATAAATAATTAAATAAAAACTTATTCCGATAAATAATTTATAAAATGGTGTCAATTAGGATCTCGATTAGATAAATTAATTTTAGAGTTAATCATCTATACATTGTAAGTGTAAAAAAAATTTACACTGACAACTAATCAGATCTGTTAATAATATCATATTATTTGCTTATTTGATTAAATTAAAATAAAAAAGACATATTAACATATATGATTAATTATCAGTGTAAAAATCTTTACACTAACAATATATAAGTGATTAACTTTTAG